TGGAAAAAGAATGAGTCTCAAGGGGGAATTAGAGCAGCAACCAAAAGATTGATGCGCTCAATCTAAGACTTAATGAGAGGCGCCGATATAGAAAGAAACATTTAAAAGACGGTTGTAATATTCGCAAAAATAAAAAGGTATCTAAACAATATTCAGAAGGTTACATTTGAATCAAAAGAAATTTCAGTGGAAGATAAATGTTAAAATAAAGATTCAATTTTCTCATAGCACAGTCAACATACAGAAATATAACCATGCAAATTTTAACAAAATAATAAAGAAAATTATAAGGAAATTGAGAATGGAAAAATACAAGACTAGATCAGGTATCGCCAAAAACAGGCTGAGGCATGGGAAAGGTCTGAGGAAATCGAATACTATGAAACGTACATTCTATTGAAGGTACCAGCATGGACAAAATCATTGGGTTGAGATCAAAAGCAAGATTTCTTTGAGGATATGATAAGACAAAAGATAGAAGTAGGACGGATCAAGAGGGTTTTTTCATTGTATAATCTGGGAAAAATTGAAGGGATTTAAATTTTTTTACGAATCAATCTGAAGAATGGCCTGAAGAGTTTCCAAAGTAATTCCTTCTCCGCCGTGCTCAACCTTGAATAAATTGTTTTTTAAATTAAAGCTAGTTTTTTGCCTCCCAGATGAAATATTTTTATGAAAAAATATTTAGATTGATTTAAATAATAAATGACTATATATGTGTGCGCGTGTGTACTGGCGGCGTAACTAAAAGTTCATTAAGCCCCCAACCTAAGATTACCGATTTCGATGACAATGGAATAGTTTAACCTTTCTTTTTTGAGTCACTTGGCAATTTTGGGGATTGTTATTTTTAGTTATTAGCATAGGCAATACTTTTTATTTCCTATTTGAAGTTTTTGGAAAATATCCAGTTATGCTAATAACTTCTATAATGATAGGCTTTAGTTACGTTTTTTAGATATGAAGATCAAGATGGCATGGCCTTCTGTCTAATCGCAGTCCTTATTTTCGTTTTTATTTCGTTAATGTATTCCTCTTTGAAATAAATTTCGAGTATTTCAACTTTCTAAGGCTTAACTAAGCGAGTATTAGTAGTAAATGATTTGTAATGAAGCCCAGACATGCATTTTAATAATACCTAAATCAGTTTAAATTGATTTATATTAGATATATAATTTAATTACAATATGCAAGGGCAAAAGCTATCAATTAGATGACTCGTGATTAGCTTATGAAGAGGAATTAGTTTCAATTAGCAAAGTGAATAAATAAGATAACTGAAGGAATTTACAGGGAGAATAGATAATAAACTGAAAAATATACCATGGTCGAATATAATATAAATTGATGTAATTAAGCAAGGAAAATATTTTATAAATACCTGATACTTGGCTCCATCAGGTTTGGTAACTAGACAGACGCCAGGCGAGACCTCTGTGACTGTAACTCCTGGGAAGAGGGTATTGAGGTCAACCACTTCTTCAACAGCCTGACCTACTGGTGTACCGACTGACTCTAGCTTGTATGCGGCAAGTCCAGTAACTCCAGCCTGCTCGGTAGCACGAAGGTGCAAATCACCGGCCGATGTCGAATCGTCCTCTTTAATGTGATGACCAGGGCCGGCAATATAGGCATCGTGACCTATTCCGTCCACGCTAGTCTGTCCAACACGAGCACTTGTAGTTGCCACAGTAGTGCTACCATCCCCACTGGCTGTTCCGTCACCTGCCACTCCGAGTTCAACCCCAGATGTAGTTGCCGAGAGATTTACTAAATGGCCTGTTGGCCTGTGGTAAAGCCTGCCAGTGGCTGCTTCCATCACAAGATCACTTGTAGCGCCGTCCTCAGTAAGCACAGAAAGGAAGGCACCGCTGGCAAGCCAAGCATCAGGCACTGGCCCACCTAGACCCCCCTCAGCGAGAAGAAGCTGATATATCAGAGTAAATGCATGAAAGAGAATCAATTAAGTACACTATAGCATGTCGCTTAAAAGTTATCAAATTTAAGTTACTCTGTCAATTTTATATAAGATTTAGTGCTTTTACAAAAGATCATAACTAAAAGGAGTTGCAGATTAAGGATCAGCTATTTCCAAATTTAAGTGACGATATTTTTTATGATCTGCCACTCAATACATATTGAATATAATCATGTATTTACTAATTAGGTTAAATGCATTATCCCACTTGCAAAGAAAACTATATTATATAGTAATATAATTTCTGAGTAATGTCACTCAGTAAAATATTTACAATCATCCAAGTATTCCAATGTTTAATGTCAACATGATTTTTTTTTATTCCGACAAATATTTCCCTCTAAATTTATTATTAAAATTGCACCTTTGCAAGTGTAATGCCTATTCACATAGTGTACGGTAATTCATGATTGCATCGAGTGTACATAATACTATCTTATACAAGCATGCCCATAAGGCAAATCATTGACAGTGTCATTTCAAACCAGACTTATCAA